TATATAGAAAGGAGGTTTTGGCCTACTATACCACGCTGGCCAGACGGGTTGGTATGGGTTTTGCATCAAGTTTTCCATCTCTTTGCAGTGCTGTTGCTCTGCGTCGTTTGTTCTCTTAGTCGGCTATTACGATTTTAGGGGAAGGTTGCGATGATTGGACCACATAGCTTTAAGGTTTTATATCTAATTAAATAAAAGTGATAAAATAAAACCTGTGATTAATAATTAATCTTTTCTTAATAAAAATACCATGCCATATTAGTTTCAGGTCAATGGTGAACAGTTTTAGCACTATAGTGATGAAACAATTTTTAGATCCGTTGCTTTTTTTGGACTTAGAAACGCTTGTATTAAAGGTCTAATCATGGCAACTTAATTAAAACACATATTTATTTTAATTACCTTTTATTAATATTAACAATAAGAATCACCTAATGTAAGGTATTTCAGTTTGTTGAAGGAACAATTTTCAAATCAATACCAATTTTCTATAACGAAATTAAAAATGTAAAGTTGTTACTCTCTCTCTTAGCTCTGATCCATGACAGTGTGTGTACGAAAAAAAAAATATTTTCTACCTTCTGTTGTATCTGCTTCTCTCGACCTAATAGTCGGGTGAAGTCATAAAGGCTTCAACCCAGGTGACATTACAGATAAAGGATCGAACTTGAGGTACAATCTTCTCAATTGTTGTATTGTTGTATTCAAATTGTCCAGGGGTGGGGACCTGGTGATCTGTAGGACAGGGCTTATGCCTATGTCAGACACCAGTTCCTCACATATACAGAAATTTATGTAACCACAATCCCTAAATAGAATTGTACCATGAACTTAAAATGTATATTGTGAGGAGAAATAAACTTTATTATTATTATTATTTATTTGGTTCTTTTTGAACGGCTCTGAACTAATAGTCAGCAAACATCTCTTCATAGTCGTAGAATAGTTTCAGATCTGAAATTTATTGAACTTTACAGACAGCCATTTGAAATAATTACGTTAGTTTTTTTTGACATAACTTTTAAATTCTAAATCTGTAATTATTAAAATTGGCATACAATAAAAACTGTTTTTTTTTTTCTTGATTAATAATATTTAGACAATGCAGTATCCAAATATGGTAAAAACTACATTGTGTATTTTTTTCAAAACCGTCATTATTCTACGACCAAGACGATCTTTGTTTAACGGGTAGATACCCGTTTTCAAAAAGATCACTTTCTGTTCCTATAATTTGAATCTCTTCCATAGCTTTCTGGTTTATTAACATCCAATATGCGTTCTAAAGCTGCTTGCAGAACACCATTAATTCCATAAATTCGAAATGTCTTTTTTAATGCCTGTTTATGTCTGACAACCTCTATGCCAAGTTTAAACAAAAATAAATTAAACAAAGATTTAAAGTAAAATAAAGGTTTGATTGGATAAGTCCATTCATAGCTCCAATATGGTGGACCAATGATAGCAACGACATTGAAAATAATCTCAACAATCTACTAAAACACAGATTAATATCCTATTAATTTAAAACTAAAAAACTACAACTAATAATATAATATAATAATAAATCTTACACATCTCACACACGGCCGTCTGATCCCAAACTAGGCAGAGCCTGTAGTATGGTAACCAGACTGCTGATAAACATACTTATATAATATATTTTTTAAATAGATACATATTATAACTACTACCCCCAGACACAGAACAAATGACCGTGCTCATCACACAATATTTGTCCTGGGTGGGAATCGAACCCACGACCTCCGGTTTAGCAGTCAGGGTCACTAACCACTAGACCAACAGGCCTGTTAATATAAAATATTATCATTGATTAAACGAAAGTGTTACAATACTTACATCGATTTTGTCGTTGCACGATTTTTTTATGGCCGTGCTCCCAGAAACCGCAGCTCCGCAAACCGTGTCACAATGATACTGAGATTTGAAGGACAGTCGCCAGGCTCAACACTGTTGCCTAGCAACTGACTCAACACGTTCTAACATGCTTAATTTTCGAAATACTTCATCAATCATCATCAACAGCCTTTAATAGTCCACTGCTGGACTCAGCTGGATAAGCCTCTCCAGGATAAGAAAGGAGGTTTTGGCCTACTATACCACGCTGGCCAGACGGGTTGGTATAGGGTTTGTGTCAAGTTTTCCTTCTCTCTGCGGTGCTGTTGTCCTGCGTAGTTTTTTTCCTTAGTCGGCTCTTACGACACCCACGGGATGAATAGGGGCGGTGACAGTCTGTATTCTTAATCCGTCACCACACGGACATACTTAGTTGGTCCAAATAAAGCGCTGGTCCATTGATCGCAACCTTTACCTAAGAGGCCAGTGACATTCATAACTATGGGATACCGACGGTATTCTCATTTGATGCGGGACATTGCAGATCGTTTTTATAACATTTAAAGTAGGGCTGGAGATAAAATGTAGTTTTATGTACATATTGAACATTATACAAGATTAGCTTTTGTCGGCGACTCCGACTCCTGTATGTCGGTTACCGCGGTAAAAAATAGCCTATTTACTAGCTAATAATGTAGCTTTTCATTGGTGAAAGAATTTTCAAACACAGTTCAGTGGTTTATTCTTAAAAGCGTAACAAACAGACAAAAAAGAAACTCACTTTCACATCTATACAATAAAATAAAATTGAAGTGTCTGTTTGTAATGTCTCAATAATAGTTCTTTTTCACGCTCAAACGGTTATTTCCACGATACCTATGCCTAAAAACCAGTTTAAATATTTTTTTTGTATCTGTCTGTTTGTTCTTGTAATCTTCAAAACGGCTGGAACGATTTTGATAATATTTTCCTACCAGGTTTTTCTCAGAAAAACCCTATAAATTTTTTCCCGGTCCGTCAATCGAACCCACTGAGTCGCGGGCACCAGCTAGTTTATAATATAAGTTTGAAAATATGGATATCACTCACTCGGTGAAAACCTAAAAATAGATTGCTGAACACTGGTGTTCTGTGATGCCTGGGTACCACTCCGGTCGAACCTACTCAAATGTGGAAAAGCCAGGCACTCCCACCACTGTACCAGCTCTTGTCACAATCACCAAGAAATAAAACTTGAAACTTGAGAGACGGGAGATTTATGGAAGAGAGTGTCAATAAATATTTTATCAATCACATTCGACTTCCTCCTTTTTGATGGCAGGGTGGAAAATCTCTATGGATCACCAGCTCCCGAGGTAGGTCATCGAGGTGATGAAGCAGCTTTTCACTAAAAATGGACCCGACGGCCTCAGACGCTCTACTCTAGGGATAAGCCAGACCCTGGCAATTAAAAATATGGAAGTAGGGAATATAAGGAATCCATTTTAATCCTATAAACGTGGGCAAACCACCAATTCAAATTAGATTTTTTAAATTATTAGTACGAATGAAACTAAAAACGGCTGTTCTAATGATTACAGAAATAAATCAAAATAACAAAAAAAACCTGCCTGAAAATTAAACAGAAAACTGGTGTTAAGCAGATCTTTTATACCTTTTCTCCAAGTGATTGAGGTTATCGGAGCCTAAAACCCCGCCTCCCCCAACTTCTGGGGGAACTCAAAGGGTGACCATGCACTTGTGGCTCTCAGATGACCATCATGATAGTCACTTACCATCAGATAAGTAAAGAAAATCTTAACTCAGAGGCTCATTCTAGCGATTGCTCTTCAATAAAAACAATCCTCGTAACTCAATTATAACCAGAGATTTAGAGATTAGGAGAATGAAAGCTGTGAAAGACAGTTTAGCAGGAAATCGTGTTTGGGTAGAGTGTGAGAGTGACTATCACCACAATATCTGGCGGATAAACCTCCAGGACAACGTAAGATATATTATTTTAATAATATTATTATTTATTAAAATATGATGTAGTTAAATTATTATTTTTTATGCTGTTTCGTGATACAAAACATTATTATTCTCAGACTTTTAAATATGTAGGTATATAATTAATCACATGAAGATATTAAAAATACTACGTTTTGGAATTAGGATACAATGTTAGGAGATCCATTTCCGGCAAGTGCCTTGTCATCAACAGCTTTTAATAGTCCACTGCTGGACATAAGCCTCTCCTTAGAAAGGAGGGTTTGGCCTACTATACCGCGCTGGCCAGACGGGTTGGTATAGGGTTTGTGTCAAGTTTTCCTTCTCTCTGCGGTGCTGTTGTTCTGCGTAGTTTTTTCCCTTAGTCGGCTCTTACGACACCAACGGGATGAATAGGGGTGGTGACACTCTGTATTCTTAATCCGTCACCACACGGACCGTGCCTTTTAGTAAAATTAATTAACTTAGGTAAAATCATGCTGTTAGGAAGCGCATAAGGTTTTTACTTAATTTTATGGCTGGAATTATTTATGAGGAACGATTTTTCTCCCGGGATCTTTATAACAAAAATAAAATCATTGGAATTGGACAACATAATAAATAATTATTATTACACTAGCGACCCCCCACTGATCGCACGGGTGCAATGTAAGTACTTGGATACTAATATACTCGGCTTTTCTCTCAGCTATTAGACATATCAACTTTCCTCTAAAATCACTCTCTCTATTGATGAAAACTGCATTAAAATCCGTTGCGTGGGAAAATCTGAATCTCTGATCTCTCAGAACTGAAGATTTGATCTGGTCTTTGAAAGATCTAAGCGTACAGGGGGTAGGAAGCAACTTTTGTTGTAACGAAGTTACTTATCGCGCGTTACACTCTTTGAGTGGATGGGAGCGAGACCTAAAAAATGTGTAACAAGACTTTTTTCTGACACTTCTTGCTAAACTTCGTTCCGACCTGGGGTCCATAGAGCCCTCACGCCGTTTTCTATACTGAGTATGTAAAGATGGTAAAATAAGTTTGTTAAAAAGAGAGAGAGAGCAATTGTTAGGTATATCGTAATACTAAATAATTTATAAATGACATCCATAGGTATATACCTATTTAGAAACATATTATAATAGTTATAAATTTAAATAAAAGCTTACCTCCCAAAGCTGTAGCAGTGAGGTTATTGAGCATGGCCTCAAGAGGCCAACCCTGGCCGCCCCCTATATCGACATCGTTCACACCACTAGCGCACAAACCATCCGCCTCTGACGTCACACAAACCCTGAGCCGAACCACCCTACGTACACGTCAGTCCTAAGAAAGCCAGGCCACCATCTCGCAAGGCATAAAATCACAGTCCACTTATGCCGCTGACACTATTAAAAAAAAAACGGTGACACTCGCGAATTGTCAAAAAGGACGAAATTCCAGCGAAAACCAGCCTTAATTCAAAATAATTAGCGCTATATTAAACCCAATTAGTTTTAATTACGACTCCGTTCAAACTTATTTACACACTTAATTTTTGTTATAAAATTAATATAACCCGTTTAGTATCAATTTGTATAAATTTGCAGTTTGATTGGTTCGCCCTTAAAATGATCGTTTAATGTGAATACCGACCGACGACTGGTACAAAAACAGATAGTGCTCACATTGTTGGCGGCCCTGCTCTCCTAAACGCTTTACAACAAGAAATAGATCCGTCTCCCTCTAACACAAGCTAAACACTACTCCTTCTCACTCGCTTCGGACGCTTGCATCAGTAATGGATGCTTACATTTTGTTTACGTTCGATTTGAACAAACGAATAATCTATTATTTCATTCGTGCACGTATTATTGATACGGATCTTTCCTATTCATACAATATTCATACACCGACATAACTAGCCGCATCTCTGTCTAACTACAACTATTGTAATTCAGACCCGGTATTGCTGTCTTTGTTACGCGTGAGATTCGAATATCGAACGCTGTCCTGGCCGTTGTGTTTCGACCAATCGGAGTGGCGAGAAATCACTTTGGACGCGGCTAGGGCTGGCACCCACGTCGCGATATTGAAATATTATTGCTATAGTGAGCGGAGGGCGTTCTGTTCTTTTGTAATGGAAAAAACAAATACAGGCAGTGTGCTCATGATATAACTGGCTATAGCTGTGTTGTCGGAGGTAAATAAGAGTACTCGAATGAGATCCGCTGGAAATATTTCAGCTGGGTTGCGTTCGGAAACGTCGCAGTCTGAGTGCGATTTCTTGTAAAAGCGCCTTTAATTTTCGGACGTTGTTGAATAAGGAATGCGGGGGAATGGACACTTCACGAAATGGGAACGGACCGTTTCTATATTTTTTTGTATTGCTTTCGAACGGTTTACTTACTTTTTTTTTCGTATAGCGGCCATAGATATATCTTTGTTTGAATATTTGAATTTCGAATTCATCAAAAGATTTGTAAGAACTAGCAATATTCGAAATTCAAATTATTTTGTAATGAGTACCTAAACGTTTTGATCAAGTTTAAAATCATAATGCGCTTATTAAAATAACACTACGATTAAGTATACAATTATTTAATTTTGAATTAGCAACAAGAAGTTCTTACTTTATTACTGGCTGGGGAATCACATTCTAAGTTTAAAAAATATACTGCCATTTTAAATAAAAAAATGTAGACAATACAAATAAAAATTAAGTGATAGAAAAGTTGTTTTTTTAATAAAAGTTTTTTTACTGTAGGTACTCGTACTGGGATGCGAGGCCTTAACCATTCATCAAACACATATCTAAATACCTACCTACTTACTTTAAATATCTAGGTATTATCGCTATTTCAGTAGGTAACTGTCCTAAATTTAGCATTTTTTATATCGGCATATTGATTTTCTATCTAAATATGAGACACTTAGGTACTCAATAAGCGCTTTTTTATAGGAAACTAGTGATATCACCTGTGTTCTAGTAGTTACCTATACCTACTTCCTAATCCTGTGTAAAAATTCTGTGTAGAGTTTCTGTTAACTCCTTTAAAGATACGGTTAAAAGACAAGACAAGCTCTAGACAAGCTATTGAAAAACTCTTTTATAACTAAGTGGTGAAATACCAATGATCCAAGTGGTGGGGATGAAAGTTTTATTACCTTGAAGGAAGTCATTGGCTGACAGCAGTAGTGATGGGTTTGAATCTTTAAACCTTCGCCCACATACATTACTAGTAACACGCAAGTGGAGCCACGAACAAAGGCTAGTCGAACAAAGCCTGGCCGGCTTTAATAAACATGAATATTACTAACGTTTTTTTTTGTTCTAGTAGATAGGTACTTATTCGTTTCTTACCTAAGTACAATAAAAAATCACATATTTTAATTTTATAGGTATGTTGATTACAATTTAATTATACAAATTCTTTATAAACGAAATATAGCAAAAAGGAATTTCATAAAATTTTGCAATTCACAGCGGGGCCGCTCTCGCTGGAAATTCTTGACAGCTTTCGACTCCACAATATTTGAAATAGACTCGCTAATACAGGCTGATTTATTTTTAAATCGAAACGTGAACGAGACCTGTATTAGCGCTCATGAAATATTACGAGAGATATTTTTTATTTAATATCCGTGTGGTGACGGATTAAGAATACAGAGTGTCACCTTCCCTATTCATCCCGTGGGTGTCGTGATAGCCGACTAAGGGAGCAAACTACGCAGGACCACAGCACTGCAAAAATAAGGAAAACTTAAATCAAACCCTATACCTACCAACCAAGTGGTATATAGTATAGTGGCAGGCTTATGTCCAGCAGTGGACCACTAAAGGCTGTTGATAATGATGAATATTTTAATTAAAATCTTCCTTGTTTAGTCTTTATATTTTTAACTGTAGATATATATATACATACCTACAAATTTTTAACCTCGGCATAGATATAATCAATCGAGCATTTCTTTTTGTCAAATTGTCTTATTGTTTTATTTAAGACTAGCTGAGACCCGCGCTGTTACCCGCGTTTGTTGTTATAACCGCGGGCAACGCCGCAGGGCGAAGCTAGTCTAAAAGAAGTAGCCTAAGTTACTCCTTATGTCATCAGCTATCTGCCAGTGAAAGTCCCGTCGAAATCGGTCCAGCCGTTCCAGATATTACTCGGAACAAACAGACAGACAGACATACAAAAATTGTAAAAAATGTTATTTTGGCATATATAGGTACCGTGTGCATTTAGTAAAAAGCGGTTATTTTAATATTACAAACAGACACTCCAATTTTATTTATTTGTATAGATAGCATATCAACGTATTTTCTTTTCTATCTTTCTATTATGTTTAAAATTGTGAAGTGCAGGAGCTCTCTTCCTTGTTGTAAATACGTTTGGCTGGGACCCCACGATACAGGCTTGCCTAGTGTGGGGACCGCGTTAAATATTTATCTGATACGACCCGCTACACTTATTTTATGTCTTGTTAAGCACTTTTGTATTTTATTTGTTTCTAAATAAATATTTTTTCATTTTCAATTTTTCTTTCGGATAATAGTACCTAAAATTTACTATTTAAAACTGTTGTCCAGATTCGTTCCGGCTGTACCTACGGCCAAACTAAGCAGAGCTTGTACTATGGCTACTAGACAACCGATATAAATACATATATACTTTTTTTTTTGTAAATGCATACTTATTATACATACAAACACCCAGACCAAATCAAACTCAGGCGGGACTCAATTCTCTCCTAGCGACCGAGTGCAGGTACTGCCCGAAGTAGCCGTGCCCGGAAAGAACTTGTGTCAACCGTGCTGTCGCCCTGCCCACTCGACGATGAACGACTTGAGCGCCTCCATGGCGGCAAAGCCGGCACGTGGAGCCTCCGGCACGGACGACCAACAAGCCATCGTGGCTCGGCGAGCGGCCTCACGTTTGCGTATCTCTTTGGGCGGGGGATGACTGCCATTAACCGCCCGGAAATCAGCCGTCCGTCGATATACTTACTAAATCCCACGGGGGAGTACCGGCCAATGCACACGCCGCCTCCGTCGAAACGGTGCGGTAACCGCGTATGGCTCTTACACACACCGGTGCACCGTACAGTGCCATTGACCGGACAACCCCCGTGTACAGCCGTCTCGTTGCAAAGCTGGGACCACCCAAGTGCAGCGCCGACCAGCTTTGGAGCAAGCTGTCAGTAGTGTCAAAAGGCCACCTCCCGTCGAGGATCAGACCCAGATACTTCATCTGGGCCCATGGAATAAGAGGGCCTCCATCTTATCCAGGGTCATCCGTAAGCCCATCGCCTCAATGCGCTGGACCATCAGAGAGACTCCCGTGGTCCCAAGAAGTCAACGATAGAAGCCGTACACCACTAAGCCAATCTCTTCCTCCGAGCCTTTTTCCCCATTTAAGAATGATCCCCCATTCATAGACTGACCTGGCTAGGATTGCTTGACTTTGCAATAAGTTAATCTGCTACCATTTAGCCAATCATATCTAATTGAATGATTAAAAATTACCGTATCAATATTTGCATTCAATTTGATTTTTTATGTTTATGTAACTGGCTTGGGTAACTTAAACTGTCAATGTAGATATCTTTGTAAAATGGCAGGTATACAATAACATATGGGCCTATATATTGGATGCGTGATGCTTCATGAGTCCGTGTGGTGACGGATTAAGAATACGGAGTGTCACCACCCCTATTCATCCCGTGGGTGTCGTAAGAGTCGACTAAGGAAGCACACTACGCAGGACAACAGCACTGCAGAGAGAAGAAAAACTTGAAACAAACCCTATACCAACCCCTCTGGTCAGATGGTATAGAAGGCCAAAACTTCCTTCCTAAGGAGAGGCCTATGTCCAGCAGTGGACTAGTAAAGGCTGTTGATGTGATGTGATGCTTCATGTCTACATCAAACTAAATTTTGTTTTCACCTGTAAATTTTTCACCTGGATCGTTAACGATCATTTCCTTTGAATATAATAAGTGTTAAATTAGTTTGTGTAAGCTTTACATACTTAAGAATTTCAGCACTGATTGAGCTTAAATTTTGACACGATGTAACCGCTTTAAAGATTGTTCATATCTTTACTTATTGCGTCAGTTTTGTTTTTTCTCTTCGTCTCATCAATGTAACCACAATGTGCCACAGCAAAGAGCAGCTAGGCAGGGTACAGCTGGTTTCTTTCTAGGGTATACCTGGTTCCCCGACTATTAGTACCCGAGACGGCGTGCGGTTTAAGTCGGTTCGAGTCCGACATGCCACCACGGTGGTATCCGAGGTTATTTCCGCACGGAAAAAAAAAAGGTACAGCTGGTTTGTTATAAGTATTAATTGTTCTATAAATAAACTTTAAATATTCAAAACGTCAAGAGTTCATTCACAATTATCTTAAAAATGCAAAAAAAAATATTCAAAGAATTCTCTTCAGCCATAAACTAGACGTGTATAAAAGATGGTTTTTTATCACACTCACGTGTATACTATACATACAATAATGTATACAATATTGAGTAACAGAAAATTCCTGGCGTAGCATACGGGGAATGTAATTATTACGTAGCTACAGAGCGTGGCATGCGACCGCTACGCCGTAACCACGCCGTAGACATGCTACGTTGCTTAATTAAAATTTCCAATTAACATTACCTCTGTACAAACCTAGGTAGTTATATAGAAATGGAAATAATATTTAAGTGACAAAATAGTAAACCAACTGAATATATCAGTACTCGTTCTGTTATGGATTTTAGTATGTCGACGTCTACAGAATATTTAAGGGTTAAGTAGGCCACAAAATGGTTATACCTATAGAAATGTCATATTGAACTATTGTTAAGTGGGCAAACGAACAGACGGTCACCTGGTAAGGGACTACCCACGATCATGGACACTTGCAACTCAAAAGTCACGTGTGCGTGAGTTTCCCTCCCTCCTCAAAATATTCGAGTGGGGCGAAGATCATATTTTTTAAATATAACGAACGAGCCTGCTGACATAACCCAAATTATAGAAATCAATTTAATTTTAAAGTTTAAAACTTGCTTCGTGTTTCTGAGTATTTTAATAATAAAAATAACCTCACACATCAGTCTGATCCTAAACTAGGCAGAGCTTGTAATATGGTAACCAACCTACTGATAAACATACTTATCTATTTAAATACATACAAATTATAGATAAATTAGACAGACACAGAATAAATGATTGTGTTCATAACACAATTTTTGTCTAGGTCGGGCATCGAACCCACGACCTCTGGCTTAGCAGTCAGGGTCGCCAACCACTAAACCAACAGACCCGTCATTTGATTGTCGTTTGCGAAGTGACGCGGCGTTTATTGCTCGCTGCACGAAGCTCAGTAATTGCTCCATATTGCATTCCTGGGTACTGCGGCGTGAGCAGCTAGTACTGCCACAAACGGTGGCTATTATTGGCAAATGGTGGAAGGTAAGGGCTTGAAATGCACAAGAATTTACATAAAATTGTATAAACATCTATATATGAAGAGGAAACGACATAAATACGGTGCCTTTTTCTCCTCTTTAACAATTTTGGTATATGGTACCCAGACCGCTGATAAACATTCTAATATATTTTTAAATTTAAGTTTTATAAATAAACTAGCTGAGCCGGCAAACTTCGTAACGCGTTAGAATTAATAAGGTAACAAATTAGGTCACATATCGACAGCAGCGCCACCTACTGTGTCCAATTGTATTTTCAAACCATCCAGGAACCAATTGAAATATACTCACAAAATTTCATATAAATCGGTCCAGCCGTTTAGGAGGAGTTTTATGTTAAGATTATATCCAGATATGAGAAAATGAACGTGCTGATAACACAATTATTTCTTATCAGTGAGAATCGAA